TATATATATAATAAAATATTTTATTTCATTTCTTTATTTGATTAAGTAATATATTTCACTATCCTCTATAATTCACTATGGTCACATTTATTAAAATTTCTGTGGGCAAAATTCAGTAATTTCAATAGGAATCAGTCAATTTAACAGCGTAATATTTAACAGTATCCAACACTGGAAAAAAAAAACTGGTGTAGAAACAGTTCACACTAGTAAATGTTACTATTAATGACAAAGAGCCTGGGAGTGATATTGTGGATATGTTCAATTATAGGCCAAATGTCAAATATATGATTCCAAATGACAAATTCCTGGCAAAAGTCCTTGAGCATGTGGTTGTTGGCCAACTCCAAACTCATCTTTATATGCATAGCCTACTTGAAACTTTTCAATCTGGGTTTAGGTCTCGACACAGTACGGAGACTGCTCTAGTTATGGTCTTGAATGACCCTTGATTCTAGGGCTTGTGGCATTTTGGTTCTGTTAGATCTTAATGCTGCATTCAATACTATATGTCACAGCATAGTACTGGACAGATTGGACTGTCTGGAACTGTGTTGAATTGGTTTAAATCTTACCTTTCAGATCGCACTCAATTTGTTTACCTGGGTGCTAATAGATCTCAGACTGTGTCTTTGTGTCAGGTTGTCCCTCATGGGTCAGTTTTTGGTCCTGTTTTATTTAGTGTTTATATGCTGCCGCTTGGGCAGATTTTTCAAAGTGTGTTTTTTTTCAACCTGGTTACCATATGAGTTTCTCCATATTAAAAAAGTAGATTTATTTTATTTTATTTATTTATATATTTATTTATTTTATTTTATTTGCAGGGTTGCATAGAAAATAAATGCCTATAAAAACAGTTCATATACAATTTATAATATTGATTTTGACCTCCTGAGGTTGACATTTTCCGAAGGTTATGCACTGACACTGGCCATTTGTTAAAAAAGAAAATAAAAAACTGGCCAAACTTCATCAACTGGCCCCTCAAACAAATGTGTGCTTGCTCTGAGAGCCTAAATCACATCCGTAGCACTTATCAAAGTGATAAATGACAGCAAGCAGTGAATGCTGTAATGGCAGTTTTTTTTTTTTTTAAGTAGCATGTATGTCGTCATACTTCAGCAAGGCTTAATTTAGCCATCTGTAAATCTAAATGAAGAGTCTTGAGACACTGTATATGGACATGACGTGTCAATCTATAAGCTTGTATCTGGGTGTTCGAGGCATGGGTCAGATGACTTCTTGGCGGGAGATCATCAGGTTGGGAGGGTGTAAAGTGCTGACAGATACAGAGAGAGCGGCATGGTGATATCTCATAACTCTCACTGTCATGATGCGAATCATGATACTAAGCAGCTAGCTTGATCTGAATACAAGATGTACAGAGAACATGAAGTGCAAAAACGCTTCATGAAAGCACTTTAGCCAAAACCACAACTGGTTCTTGTTGATATTAAACACTGTAATGAAAATCTGTTTGTTTACGATCTAGTTATTGGATGAAACCCACAGGGAAATATTTTCAATCCTGTTCTTTATCTATTGATAGTCGACATTCTATCCTGTCATTCTTTTAAATGCATACAGTAAATCTGCTAACAGAAAACACTGAGAGTAGTGCTGTTTTTTGGCAGGAGTGGTTCACGGTCCTCGAGCACTTCCACAGGCTGAACGCTACAGTCTCTGACCTTGTCATGGGAAATACATACACCTTCAGAGTTTTTGCAGAAAACAAGGTTGGAAGGAGTGAGACTGCTGCTGTAACAAAAGGTGCTGCTCATATTCAGAAAACAGGTAAGCTCACAACAACTCATTGTTTTAACTCTACAGCACTTCAGACTTCTCCCATTAAGTAAAGTTAACCCATACATAGATTAGCTGTGGTAAAATTACTATTGAATGGCCTTGAGTGCCTTATTGCTGGCAGCAAAAGCAGTAAGATTAAATGCACCCATATTTATTCACTATCCTAACTGTAAGCTGTTTACGGTTGCCAAATAATGTAGCAAATTGGCACATTAAAATATAATTCAAGCAATGTACATTCACAGTTGTGTACAGTGTAGCTATACACATACAACACACTACTGTACGTTCAACTGTTTTAGGTCAGTAAGATTTTTTTTAAGGAAAATAAAAGCAGCCTTGGTGAGCATAAGAGACTTCTTTCAAAAACGTAATATCTTACCAACCCCGACTGCAGAATGCACATAAATGCACACATGACTTCACATTCTATATTATTGTGGCAAGTTGTTACATTGCGTGGCAACTGCAAACAGCCTACAATTAAACAAACCGATAATTGATACTAATAAATTATACTAAATGAACTGTTTCTATAAATCACATGAGGCCATTTTGTTGACAGCACACACTGACAGCACATACTAAGTGTTCTCGCTGTATGAAGATAAGACTTGGCTCTGCCCTGAGTGCTAATGACAGTTCTCGTTCCTCACATCAGAGGTACATGGGATCTGTATAACAACATGGATTATGCTGTGCAGCAAAACTGACAATAATTTAGCAACATGCATCAGTTGGCTTTAGGCATAAGTTTATATACGATTAGTTAACAGTTACACCCTGAGCCAGCAGACACTGAACTGGTTATGTTTCAAAAGCATTGCAAACACAAGTTTTGTTTTGTAATTCAGTCTTTGTGGCCTTTATTTCATATAAATGCTCATTAGGCATGAGTCACACTGGTCAACTATTCAACTAGTCACTCAACAAACTACAGTGAGGTTGACTAGTTTACCAAAAATTATCTTTATTTTAGTTTTGATATGTTTAGCTGTAGAGCTCAGGGAAGGGGCCCTCTAGGAGCAGGACTGGTTGTCACCCCTGATTTAAAGGGGGAAAAAATCAAGCATGTTAAAAAAGAATTTAGTTCCAACCCTAATTAATCAGACCTGAACTGGCCAATCAAAGGCTGTGTCTAAAATCACCCTCTGTACCCTTATATAAGGCACTTTGCCAACTATACTCTTATATAGACCATTATTTGAGGGAACTGCCATTTGTAGTGGTGTCCAAAACCACAGTGGACTTTATCGAGTGCACTCATTCAATCCATAATGCACTTTAGTAATGGGTGTATATCCAATGTACACTCAACGGCTAGCTGCATGCACAGTCAGAATAAATTCCTGCATCTCGCTAGAAATGTAGCATTTCCGGCACATTCATTGTCTGCTCACTTGTTTTCATTCATTCCTTCAAGTGGACTACATTAAGTGGAAATCATGAATAAGGGTATAGGGGGTGATTTTGGATACAACCAAGGACTTTAGGATCACTAGAAACTTCTTGGCATGTGTGTTGGAGCTAAACTCTGCAGAATGGTTGCCCTCCAGGAGCACGATTGGACAGCCATGCCTTAAATTCATAGCTGCTACAACTATAAACATTCAGATGGACATCTATTGCTGTTGCATTGCACCCATGCAATGAAACATGTCCAACTGGAGTATTTACTGGGCTCTATTTAGCCGATTAGGAACCCATCAACTGCTTCTTAAAGCCTGGTGTTTTGCACATCACTAACGTCATGTAACAGCTATACCCTCTGCACAACTGTCAGTCCCAGCTGAGGTTGTTGTCCCTTGCCCTGTAGGTATTGTCTACAAACCAGCAGAGTACAAGGAGCATGATTTCAGCGAGGCTCCCAAGTTCACAGCGCCTCTCAGTAACAGAGCTGCCACTGTGGGCTACACCACTAAACTACTATGTGCCGTCCGAGGCAGTCCAAAGGTATGGATCATCTATTTTCTGCTGATCTGTTATAGTCCTCCTTCCACATTTGATATTGTGAAAAATTTACCAACCAGTAGCTACATGGTTGTAGCCAAGAACTAGCTGATGTGCTGCTACAAATATACATATGAAAGACTATCGTTGTAATTCAACAACAGCTGTTAATAATCCAACGATGGTATCAACATATCCAAACCTCCTTGAGTTCATGCTCAATAAATAGTTTAATTATACCCATAGCTGTAGTCATAAGGCACAAAAAAACAGTGCTGCTGGTAGACAGTCATGCGGGGACTGTGTTAGCTTGTCATTCCCAAGGAGGGGGATGGAGAATCAAGTTTCGAGAACAGCTGAGATGCATGCAAAATCTGGGCTGAATGCAAATCCTGATGAGTTAGCCTTCTAGGACACTCCAAAATTCTTGTTCTTTAAAGCATGCTGTGATGGGATCCACTGTCTATTTCATGCTAACAAAGTTCCAGAGATGTCCAGGCTGTCTTGGTCATGTTGGATGCAATTGGAAATGTAAAACCTTCAAAGCCACAATAGAACATAATATGTTTCATAGAAGAATAACTCAATAATGGCTTCCTCAAGAGTAAGGCTACAGTATTTACAACATGCTTCAAGCAATAAAAAAGTAACAAACAGTTCCAGCTGACAGAGTTTGAGTTGACAGACAGTCAGGGACTAGTAAATTGTATAAAAGGACTGTGACACTCAAAAGTCCTTGCTCCGGATTGTCATGCTGGGGCCCAATTTCCATTAGGCACCAACAGAGTTCCAGGGTGTCCTGAGCTTTTTGGAGGAAGTTGGAAACCTAAAACCTACACAGAAGTCACAGAAGAACACCTTGATGCACTTCATAGAACGATGCCATAGATTATTTTTCATTCCTTCATTCCATTCCATGTTTGTCCGAGCCAGTTAACACGGTTCTACTTTGGTGCTGCATAATGTACAGTAACTAAACATTGGAGAATGCTGGCTTCTGTACTACACTACAAAACCATTATTGCATCATTACAAGCCATTGTTGCAGTAGCCAGGTAGGGTCCCACAACGGTTGGGTAATTTAGCCACCCCCTAGCTCCAATCCTGCTACAAGCATTCCACTAGTATGGTTGAGAACTGTGCAGAGAAACTCGGAAATGGTTTGTAATCATACTGTACCAAACCGTGCTCAAGTGAAAATGCAACTGTTCCTCACCTTGCTCTAAACTGTTTGGCCCAGTGGTGCTTCAATGTAATGGCTTCTCAACAGGATATTTATGTAGAGCAAACTTCTGCCTATTAAAAATCATGTTTTCATAAATGAATGGAATGATGCTCATATTTTTTGTCCAGATTTATGACTTATTTGTGATTGACTTGTTGATATTGCCTATTTGTGAAAGTCCACAACCTGACTGAACAGGAGAATCCTTAATCCTTCAGCACAGATGAATCAGATGTTCAATTAGCAAGATCCCTTCTACTGTCTGTTATGTGTTGCCATATCTATTACATTTACATTTAGTCATTTTGCAGACGCTTTTTACAATTGGGGAATACATAAAGCGATTCTTCTTAAAGAGGCAAACAGACACAGGAAGTGCTTGAAAACCAAGTTTTAGGCATTGTTCAAATAAGTACAAGCTAGAAAAGGGAAGGAATAAATAAAGAGAAAGAAAAAAAATATTTGTTTTAAGATGAAGTCAAGTAGCATTTAAAGAGATGAGTTTTCAGCTGTCGCTTGAAAATGGTCAGGGATTCAGCATTCCGGATAGGGTTGGGAAGATCATTCCACCAGCCAGGAATGGTGAACGAGAATGTTCTGGAAAGTGATTTTGAGCCTCTCTCTGTTGGTACCACGAGGCGTCGCTCACTAGCGGATCTCAGACTTCTGGAGGGGATGTAGTAGTGAGTGGAAGTAGGCGGGTGCTGAGCCTGTGGCTGTTCTATATGAAGCATCGATGTCTTGAACTTGATGCAAGCCGCGAGCCTATTAAATAAAGATTTATTTTTGACATCCATTATGCTCAAAAGCATAGCTAACAGACAGCTTGATGATATTATTTCAGCTTAGCTACTGCAACTTCATTAGGCTTTCTTGAGCCTGAATGAGGATTAACTAGCTTTCAACTGATCAAATCAAAGTTTTCACTGGAATTACTCATCTAATCACACATTAGTACAGTGTTTCGTGAAGGGGAGTATTTTAAGACCTCATCTCCACCTTTCCTAAAAAGCACCTTTGCATTAGCCATTTTGTGCAGCATCTTGATTTCTGAAATAATTTAGCATCTTGTGGACACCATCTGTGTGTGGAACTGAAGGCATTAGATTAGCATGTTTCTCTTTTCTGGAAAGTTACCCATGGAGCAGTGGGACATCAGTTAGCATCATAAGGTTAAATGCTAACAGAATGTGAAAATGCTTCTGTAAACTTGACCCATGAGGCACAGTAACATGCTGTTCCAGCTAATGGACCTCGAGTAGGCATAAATTCAGGGACTGAGACGTGTGACATTTTATGTAAGAATCATGACACCTCTAAGTATGTGTGAGGGATATAATTAATTGTAATGTGTTAAATGGTTCAGTTGTGAATGACTTGTTGGTGTTTGTTGTGGCCATGTCAGTTGAAATGACATGTATTTTGTTTGCAGCCTACAATCGAGTGGCTGAAGAATCAGATGCTCATAGGAGATGATCCCAAATACAGGCAGATCAACAACCAGGGAGTGTGCTCACTCGAAATCCGCAAACCATCCAGCTTTGACGGTGGCGTCTACACTTGCAGGGCCAAGAATGCCCTTGGTGAGGCTACAGTTGTCTGTAAGCTAGAGGTCAAACGTAAGTACAGGATCGTTTGCACTTTGCTTGACACGCTAAAGCTACAAGGTGCATTTTCAGCTGATTATAGCGGCATTGATCCTTTAAGGTGTTTATCCAGGAGAGGAATGGAAAGCGAGTGCCGACTATGATTAATTTGAGTTGGTTTTAAGCATGTGTGTGTGTGTGTGTGTGTGTGTGTGTGTACTGGATGGGTACAGAGATATGTTGATGAACATCTGCTTTTCTCTTTCACCAGAGGTGATCATCTCAGATGAAAAAGAGAGGAAATAAAATAATGTGCACAGGTCAGTAAATAAAAACATTTTCCATTTAAATATATAAAAGCTTAAAATTGTCAAATGTATTGTAAAGTATGTGGACACATTTTCTTATTGAAACATGCATTTGAATGCATCACACATTGCCACCCAAAATAAAAAAATAATAATAATTATATATATATATATATATATATATAATTTTGTATTATATAAATATACTATTGTTCTCATTTTAATCAGAATCTTATTACTATACTACAATGTATAATTCAATAATATATCATTATTATTATAATATGTGTTTAAAATAACGCAATGTTATTGCATAGCAATAATTAGGGTCACACTGCAGCTGCAATCAATCAGTCAATCAATCAATCAATCAATCAATAAATTCCAAAAATGCAATTGTAAATTTACCTGCCCTCAACTGCAGTGACACTCAGTTGCAAATTAAAATATCTCTGAACGACTGATCCCACAATTCTAGATGTGCATCAAAAGCATGTCTGTTATGTAGTAACTCAGTTTTTAAAAGGTCTGTAAATCCTGTTGAATGCACACTAAGCTTCCAGGAACTCGTATCTAAGAAAGGCATGAGCAGAATCAGGTTTAAATGACAGTAATAGTTTTAAATGTGAGACTCCCTTACATGGAGGAGCCTGCACACTGTGAGAATGTAGCCGCTCCCACTCAAAGAGGCCGGAGTGTCTGTTAGTGGCTATGTGGGCTAAAAATGAAACTGTGGCCTTGCAGAGAGCAGAGAACAGAAAACAGCACAATACCATGACTTCCGACAGACTCACACTGCAGGACAACACCTTAAGTTAACACTGGTTTGGTTTCCCAGCACTGAAAGACTTGTGTTTTTTTAACAAACATGCAACACCTAAAACCTAGGAGCTATAAGAAAATACAGGTTAATTCAATATTTTTTACTTGACAATAATTTTTTTGCCCTCAAAGACCCACTATAAAAATTTCACAAAATATCCAAAAAGTATCAGGTTTTTAATTATTAATTTAATGTGTAAATAACTTACATGCAGTCAGACCTCAAACATGCATTTTGAAGTTGTTAAATGAGGAAGACAGTGGCGAAGTCAAACCCACATCCTTGTGGTAGTTATGCTTAAAGGAATAGTTCACCCAAAAATGAACATTTGCTGAATATTTATTCACCCTCAGTCCATCCAAGATTTATATTAGTTTGTTTCTTCATCAGAACAGATTCAGAGAAATGTAGCATTGCATCACTTGCTCACTAATGGATCCTCTGCAGTGAATGGGTGCCGTCAGAATGAGAGTCCAAACAGCTGATAAAAACATCACAATAATCCACAAGTAATCCACACCACTCCAGTCCGTCAGTTAATGTCTTCTGAAGTGAAAATCTGCATATTTGTAAAAATAAAAACATATTATTAAGACATTTTATACTTCAAACTGGTTTTGGCTAAATTACAAGTCCATAATCCATAATAATGCTTCCTCCAGTGAAAAAGTCCATCCCCTGTTGTCCACTCAAATCAAAATCCACCCTCAAATTTGTTTAGAGCTGTTTTGGACTGTTTTCGCTTGTAAATGGTGCTTGATCTGAGCATATTTCTCTCTTAATTCAGACGAGACAGATTTTACTTGCAGAAAGCAATATTATGGATAGAGGACTCGTATTTTAGCTGGAGTTTAAATATGTCTTAATGATTAATTTGTTTGGATTTGTTTTTATCAGCTGATTGGACTCTCACTCTGAAGGCACCCATTCACTGCAAAACAGACGAAACAGTGGTATGGACAAGTTTAAATATATAGTATGTGGTCTTATCGGTCCATACAATGGTTCTGAGTAGATTTGCGTGCAATCTTTAACTGGTACTCTCAGCAAATATACTACTGATGAAACCAGTTACTAAAAACACCGGTGACGATGCACCATTAATCATAGACTACTAATAGTGTGGTATTCAGCTGTTGATTATATTGTGGTATGTCAGATATAATCTAAACTATTACTCAGTCCCTCAATTAAAACAGTGAAGCATTAGCTCTGATCATATTAAGGTTTAATGCAGAATCAGTATGCCTTTCAGTGGAGAGTGCATCAATTTCCCCATGATTTACATCTGTGAAATATTAAATATGACTGTGAAAAATTAAAAGTGAATTTATATTTACAAAAAATATTTGATTAACTTCTATAAAATATGTGAAGTAGAAGAAAAAACTTCCCTTTAGCACATTTAACAATTAATGTTTCTGATAATAATCACTGCAAAAGACCCATTGATGAGCAAGTGATGTGATGCTACATTTCTCCAAATCTGTTCTGATGAAGAAGTAAACTCATCTTTGCATAAATCTTATGCGCATACTGTACGTCTGCAGCCAGATTTTTCAATCCTCATGTACTGTGTATTTTGAGCCCTAGCGCTCGACACATGCGCACTAGGAAGATTTTTCTTTATCCAGTGTCTGCGCTATTTCTCTCCAGAAATTATGAGCAATGAAAATGTCTTTATTTGTTGTCTTTGTTGTTGTTTCATCACTTTTTCAACTTTGAAACAACAGTCAGTTTTGCCACCTTGTGAACAAACTATAAATGTTTAGAAAAATTGGGCTACACACATACAGATTTTCACATAGTCAATCAATCAATCAATCAATCAATTCGGATAGAGGACTCGTATGACAAAAATTCAGTCACAGAATGTCTCCAGTCACACGCAATGTATAAATAACGTAGTGTACACATAAAAATGAAGTATACTTTGAGCATAATTAGTTTGTCCACAAGGAAACTGACGAGATGGGGAAAAAAAGCATCAAAGACAACATAAAAATATATTTTTATCAATGTTCCCCCTTGGTTAAAATCGGCAAGGTATTGGGGGGGATGAATCATTGTCTGGTGTGTGGAGCAATGATACATTGTCTGGCCATCTGAGATTTCGGTATGGAGATATAGGTTAGGATCATAATTTTTGGTAGTACTACATAACACCATGTATATTAGCATCATCTGTTGTTTGCTTTTGGCCTCTGATGGAGGGATTGGACTTGAAAGGGTTGCTTGACGTCATACTTAACAAGTGGATGTGTTTCATCACTTTTTCAACTTTGAAAGAACAGTCAGTTTTGCCACCTTGTGAACAAACTATAAATGTTTAGAAAAATTGGGCTACACACATACAGATTTTCACATAGTCAATCAATCAATCAATCAATCAATCAATTCGGATAGAGGACTCGTATGACAAAAATTCAGTCACAGAATGTCTCCAGTCACACGCAATGTATAAATAACGTAGTGTACACATAAAAATGAAGTATACTTTGAGCATAATTAGTTTGTCCACAAGGAAACTGACGAGATGGGGAAAAAAAGCATCAAAGACAACATAAAAATATATTTTTATCAATGTTCCCCCTTGGTTAAAATCGGCAAGGTATTGGGGGGGATGAATCATTGTCTGGTGTGTGGAGCAATGATACATTGTCTGGCCATCTGAGATTTCGGTATGGAGATATAGGTTAGGATCATAATTTTTGGTAGTACTACATAACACCATGTATATTAGCATCATCTGTTGTTTGCTTTTGGCCTCTGATGGAGGGATTGGACTTGAAAGGGTTGCTTGACGTCATACTTAACAAGTGGATGGAATATTGAAAGACATTCAGCTGTATGTATACGCTAAACATTTGCATCAAAACTGAAGAATACTTTGGGCTTTACTGGATCATTGTTTACTCAAGTCAAAAGAGTCAGTTTAAGTTGGCTATAGGAAAATCATTACATCAAGTACCAGCACACCTTCCCTCTAGAAGTCACACCATTGCAGGTATCATTCATGTCCCATGATCAATAGTTATTGTGACTAATAATTTGATTACTGCTGTACTTGTAATCTTGAAAATGGGAGACATAATTGTAAAGATTGATGTAATGATCTCAAATCAGTCTTTGTCCTTTGCAGTTCATCTGTTGAGGAGCAGCAGGACACAATGCTGTAGAATGACAGCGGTGAGAAAAGCTACAATTGACCTGTTTATCCCACAAAGCATCTTCATTTTGGATCATCTAAATACTGTAGTGCTTGTGTTCGTTCTAATGCTGAATACTAAGCATGTCTTATCTATTATTAATATCAATATTTGATCAGTGTGTCTCTGTGACCGCCTGTGCTGTTTCAGTGTCACACCTATTCAGTGCATGTGGTGTAGTTTAACAGAGGCATTCTGGGTAATGGAGTTTCCTGGTATCTTACACACTTTCTTCTCTCCTTCTGTTGTAGATGTTTTCAGTGGTGCAGGAGGATGAGCTGATGTGTGCACAGCAATGAAGGCTCTGACTTGCATCTGGGATTAATTCGTTCAACAAAATATAAGAAACATTGGATAGTTTCCCGTTTTGATTCAAAGCAACTACACATTAGTGAGAGCGAAAAAAAAATAGTTTTATATTGTCGCATGTATATTTCAAGTGTCACTGTAGTTCATTCCTGATGAAATCCCTCTTTGTAATTGAGTGTTTCCAATAAAAGAATAAACCCACTGTCTTTTTGCAATGATATATTGTAAATGCTAAAGGATATTGTGCCGTTTTTGATTTTCTCATTGGATATAATGCTGCAGTTAACAAATATCTTATTCTATGTCGAATTTTACTTAAACAGAGCTGTTTTAAACAGGCCTGAGGTTTGCACCGTATGCTGTTGTCATTAGTCATTAGGATGGTCAAATTAATAGACTAAACAGTGGTATGGACAAGTTTAAATATATAGTATGTGGTCTTATCAGCCCATACAATGGTTCTGAATATATTTGCGTGCAATCTTTAACTGGTACTCTCAGCAAATATACTACTGATGAAACCAGTTACTAAAAACACTGGTGACGATGCACCATTAATCATAGACTACTAATAGTGTGGTATTCAGCTGTTGATTATATTGTGGTATGTCAGATATGATCTAAACTAATACTCAGTCCCTCAATTAAAACAGTGAAGCATTAGCTCTGATCATATTAAGGTTTAATGCAGAATCAGTATGCCTTTCAGTGGAGAGTGCATCAATTTCCCCATGATTTACATCTGTGAAATATTAAATATGTCTGTGAAAAATTAAAAGTTAATTTATATTTCCAAAAAATATTTGATTAACTTCTATAAAATATGTGAAGTACAGAAGAAGAAAAAACTTCACTTTAGCACATTTAACAATTAGAGGTCTTACAAAGCAGCTTTACAGGGATAAAAAGAAGTCTCCAGTTCTGAGTTTAGTCAGAGGATGTAAAGTGATCTAATACCTTTACATCGGTTGCCACATGCTCACTCATACAAAAAGTGTAATTTCCATAGACAGCTACAGCTTGCTTAGTCAGTGATAGACAGAAATCAAAAGGTCCCACATGATGAGCCACACGCTCCATTCACTGGGCCTTCAGTTTGACCTATTCTGGATGCAGATTTGCGGTAATACCAAACTCCACTTAATCTACTAGTCATAATGATTTCAGAAGAGTTCAGAGTAAATCAAATATAACATTTTATTTGTCAGGAAAACATTTTCATCAAGCCCTGAGGAAGACACCCCTCAGCAGCAGAACAGAATTCTTCAAAAGTTTGCATAACATGATACATTTAGAATGATACTAAACATGAAAGGGGAAAACAAAAGATTCACAAGGTAAAAGAATATGTTGTAGATATTCTTAGTGAACTTACAGTGAAGCCTGGTGGGAGAAGAGTAAAAAGGGGAGAGGGGGGTCATAAATGAGCAAGGAAAGAAGTTTGGCAAAGTGGTCATTTGTTCTTTCTTTTCTCCAGATTAGTGAGTTTTATTGTTTTGTTGCATGGCATCTGTTTTATGAGAGTCCCTGAATTTTGGCTTCATGAGGAGATCAAAGCGGCCTTACACTGAAAACTACTGTTGTTCCCATCAGCCATGGGTTTTCAAATACCACCCTAAATTTGCGTGTTATTCTTGACATCACTTCCTTTCAGTTTTTTGAGAAAATGGTTTGCATTTGTTGCAGCCCCACCTCTAGCATTATTGCTAAGGCCTCTGCTCACAGGATGTTGGTTCACCACAAGTCAGATCGGGAGGCTGGTCTCAATGCAGCTTAAAAAGAAAAATGACTTTCCACCTTAAACTGTTTAACAACTGTTTGATATAACAACTTCAGTCAGGTTTATTTTTGATTTCAAACTGAAGAAACCTGTGATAGATGTGCCCCACATATTGCTTTTTTTATTTTTATATTTTATGTGATTAAAGTGCACTGAAGAGAGAGACGAAAAATACATTTCCTTCTATATGCTGTTAATGTGCACACATTTAAGGTTCCTCTGGTTCACACTAAAAGTGACTGTCTCATAATTTCAAAGCTAGAAATGTTTGTTGAGGTATTTCTTGTGTGCTTTTGCTGGAGTGTTGAATGCCTGTCATAATCCAACAGGATTATGGACACAACAAGGTTGGAGGAACAAGGAAGTTCACATAAAACGTTGCACTCATCAACATTTTTTGAAACAATGATTCTTTGAACCACACCCACAAAACTTAAAACAGAAACCAGAACAATAACAGAACTTAAGAATTGGCATGCATGTCTGTAAAAATAAAACATTAAATGTTTTTAAACACACTCATGGATCTACAACACTTTTTGGTTACATAATGTTACATTATGTTGTTACTGTACATAATAATTCACCCTTTGTCTGCCTCTCACACTCACAAACACACAGCGCGTGGATAAGCACATGTTTGGTTCACCAAACATCATTTTATTACAATTGAAAACAACTTTAAAATATCACCAAACCTGTACATTAATTCAGTTTTGTAGGTTAAATGGAAGTAGATATGACATCATGATTTCCTGTCAGGTTTACATTATAAGTGGTTATAACAGGAAGCTTTTCTTACTCACGCAAGATCTTTGTTCGCTGCTGGCTCTGCTTTGACTCCATCTGCAAATGGAAAGGTTTAAAATCTTCCTTTGGACAGGTAGGATGCCATATTTGCTAGATTAATTAATATATTAATATAACAGAAACCAATACAACTAAAACTATTACTATACACTAATGCCTTTTCACAGTGAGATCTCTGAATCTTTGTGTTCATTTATAGTGGCAGTGAGTCTACAAGTAACATCTCAAGACAGCACTGGTGGTGAGATTCATATTTTTATACTGGTGTCTGGTTTGTATGTGAACTTTTAATGACTATTTGAACTGTTTTATTTTCAAGTTTCAAGTCACTTTTTAACACAATTGTGTATTTAGCCTCTCTAACCTAAGGATTATTCATCCTCTAGAACCTCCTATTCAGATTTCCAAGCCAAATATAATTCTGAATGCATCTCATGCTGTGCTGTACAGCACAGAGACAGTCACTCTGCACTGTGAGGTCCCTGATGAACCACCAGGGTTACAATATGACTGGTACAAGGACTCAGCTGATCTTAGTGAACATCAGCCCAACATCACTCCGAGAGGCAGTGGAAAATATGAATGCAAAGCAAAAAAAGGAGCTTCTGAGTCAGAAAAAAGTACTAGTTATACTTTAACTCTAAAAGGTAAATGAATATCACAAATATATATTTACAGTATAACTTTCTCTCTTTACTATATACAGTGGGTACGGAAAGTATTCAGACCCCCTTAAATTTTTCACTCTTTGTTATATTGCTGTACCCACTGTATACCAATCCCAGCACCAATGCCGATTCTGGTATATAAGTGGGCCGAAAAGTCAACATACAATTAAGGATAAATATGAAAATAATAATGGATATATATGGATACTACAAGGTAAAAAAAATGTGGGGTCAGTAAGATTTTTTTAATGTACAGTAAAATACAGTAAAAACAGTATTGTGAAATATTATTTTCAAATAAGTGTTTTCTACTTTAATATATATGTATAGCTGAATTTTCAGCATCATTACTCCAGTCTTCAGCGATACTTCAGAAATCATTCTGATATGCTGATTTGCTGCTCAAGAAATATTTCTTATTTTTATGGTACTAAATTGTAAATAGTATTAATTTCAAGTAATAATAATAATAATAAAAACCTAACAAAACTTTTGAACAGTAGTGTACATATTATCTATCTGTATTATCTATCTAATCTCATTCACATTACAGTTTGGTCCATTTTCTTCTCTTCTTTTAGAACCGCCTGAACCAGAAATCCGGTCTGATTGGACAGAAGCGTTTCCTGGTGAAAAAGTGTCTTTGCAGTGTGTGATTCAAGGTGTTTCAGAAAACTGGAATTATATGTGGTTCAAGGACTCAAGAAAAATCGTCTCCAGTGGTGAAACAAACATACAAGGAAACACTCTCACACTCTCAGTGAAGTCCAGTCATGACGGGGCCTATATGTGTCAAGCTGAGCTGCAGGGCAGAAAGGTGACGACTGCAAAAAGCAAACCACATTTGTTAAAATTTAAAGGTAAGAGGTCTGTTTTAACAGCATGTCATGGTTAAATCATAATCTGTTACATTGTGAAATACAGAAAATTCAGAAAACATTTAATTTAATTTTGCAATGTTTTTTAATGATTTAAGATTGAGTTTTAGTGCTGTTTATTTCCAGCCTCAGTTTAAAGTCACCATGAAATAAAAAAATGACAATTCAAATTTTTTTACACAGTGTTTAGGTATTTATTATAAATGATTTATCCGTGCACATCACTCATTTTTTTATTCATTTGCACTTGTAATCTTTAATCAAAAACACTGCTTATATATGCTTTTATAAGTAAGTAAAAACAGCCAAAATGTTAATGATAGGCATGCTAATAAGTAACTAGTTAATAATGAGAATTGGTCCCTATCCTAAAGTGTTAATTAAATTGCATAAAGTATAGTACAGTCAAAAAATGTCTAGTTATTACATTGTTATTTATCTATGCAGAATTGCCTCAGCCGAAATTGTCAATAGATTCTCAATGGAATATGTTTTACCCAACTGAGAGAGTGACTCTGACGTGTTCAGTTGATGAAGAGTCAAATGATTGGGGCTATGAATGGTTTAAAAACAGAAGTTTGCTTAAAGAGGATGAGGACATTTCCTTTTCTGGAAACACACTCTCCATCAGCTCAGCAAAAGCAGATCATTCAGGACAGTACCTCTGCAGAGGAAAACATCTGACGAGAACATCGGTGACTACAAGAGAAACTGAAGCTGTGCAACTTCATATTCAGGGTAAAACTACTTATGATATTCTATGATTAATAGATATGAATGAAAAGTGACAGGAACCCAAGAGAGTCCTATGAAAAACTGTTGAATATATTGAACTGCTTTTGAAAAGATAATTTTCTATGAATTATCTGAAAGAAAGAGTTACAGGTGCTTTAAAATGCATTCCGGTGAAGAAGCTGTATCAGTGTACAGTGGTTCATGTCTGCATTTACAGTTTCTCGTCTACTCTTCTTGACAGCAGTCAGACACTATTAGCAGCATGAGTCCATTCATTTTAGTTTTGCATAATTCAAAATAAAAAGCACATGCAATTCAAGGCAGTTTTTGTTTGAAGGTGGTCCACTGTTTCTAATTTTTAACCTCTGTTGCTTCTAGACATCACACCAAAACCAACCATTACAAGACATGAGTGGTTTGAATTTTTCTACACTGAGGAGCGAGTTCAGCTTAAATGTAACATGCCAGGAGTAGGTTGGGAATACCACTGGTATAAAGACTCAAACCTTCAGATCACAAATCCAGAATTCACCATTGACGCAGTATCTCTGGATGACAGTGGTTATTATCTCTGCAAAGCACAGAGAGGAGACTTCTCAGTGGACAGTGAGATGCTACAAGTGCAAGTTCAGAGTGAGTCCATTATTTACCCCTTTATAAATTTCTATTATATAATATTATTCCCATTGTGCGTTCATTGAGTTTACAGTGCCTCAGTAAAATTATCAGCAAATGCATCAACATGTGCAACATCAACAAAGTGACAGGAACCCAAGAGAGTCCTATGAAAAAGCTGTAAAAGTTAAAAAATCTCAGGAAATGCATGCACATGTTAGCGTTAGGCTCTGTGTTATATTTCTGACCTCATTCAGCCTCCATTTTCTTCTCTTCTTTTAGAACCACCTGAACCACAAATCCGGTCTGATTGGACAGAAGCGTTTCTTTGGGAAAAAGTGTCTTTGCAGTGTGTGATTCAAGGTGTTTCAGAAAACTGGAATTATATGTGGTTCAAGGACTCAAGCAAAATTCTCTCCAGTGGTGAAACAAACATACAAGGAAACACTCTCACACTCTCAGTGAAGTCCAGTCATGACAGGGCCTATATGTGTCAAGCTGAGCTGCAGGGCAGAAAGGTGACGACTGCAAAAAGCAAACCACATTTGTTAACAGTTAAAGGTAAGAATCTGTTATCTGCTTTATCAGCATGTCTTGAAATCATAATCTGTTACATTGTGAAATACAGAAAATTCAGAAAACATTTCATTTAATTTTGCAAGTCAATAAGCTTAATGCTTGTGTAGCAGAGTGAGCTATAGACCCAGTATAATTGGCTGGCGTTACCCAAACAGGTGAACCTATCAGTGTTCACACTTTATCATGGTTGGGTAAGTTTCATGAGCCAATTAGTGCCTGTGTGCCTATAAAAGGGGGAGTGTTTGGTTGCTTGGGATGCATCATCCTTGGTACCGCACCTTTGTGACATGTGGCGCTTTGAATGGGTGCCAGCAGTTGGGTTATCCTCCTGTCTGTCGTGTGCTGGCTGTTGGCCAGTTTTCAGATATGGGCCTGCAAGTAGCTGTAATCCTGCGTGGTGAGCGACCATGTGTATTGCAGCATTGTACTGTTTTCTTGGATTGATTGCACGTCCGGGGGTTTCTAACGATCTTAATTGACGCATAACGAACCTCAAGTAACTGACTGCACTTCTGCTCCGCTCTACTCAGTTTTGTTCTGTCTGGAATTCATCTGGGTCCGTCTGTTATATTTTGTTTTGTATTGTTTGGTGTGTGGATTTAGGTGGAAGGGGTTGGCCATGGTACCTTGTACTGCGTGTCCACAATGAGTGCTGTGTTTAATATTACTGATTTTTTACGAGTGTGTGTGTGTGTGTGTGTGTGTGTCATGGGTATTGAGTGTGGGGTAGAAATCTGAGGGTCTTTGCTGGTCACCTCCCCCTTTATATTATTTTATTGTATTGTACTTGTTTTATAAGTTACTTATAAGTTACAGCGATCTGTCACATTAAAGAGCTACAAAATGACATTTACTGTTTGAATTTCTTTCGAAAAATTACACATTTTGAAAGCTGACACTTTGTTTCACACCAAAAGTAATCTGCTCTGTCTTGTTTGACGGTGCATTGTCATTGTCCTCTTTGCTCTGCAATGTATTTTTGAGGTGTGGCATGAGAATTCAATCGCCTCATTTCAGGGGCGTGAACCGATCATCTCTTCCTCTTTACCACCTTTAGTTATATAATGGATGAACATTAGAGTTATGTTGCCTCAACTTCGGAGAGATGTCAATACACCATAGTCCACTGACATTAATCTAACTCTCCAGTTAGGGTTGTTTGTCAGACAAAATGACGGATTTGGCCAAAGTCCCTTTAAGGCAAGTCATTTCACTCGGTGGCCATCTTTGAGATGCTTCTCGGCATGCAAGTGCAGTTCCTATCTCTTTGAAATGGAAAACATCAAATTCTCCAAAACTGTTCACCAAGTTTATGAATAAATTTCACATTTGAAACCATCAATGAAATCTGACAACAACCGTCTCATAAATGTTGTTTCTTATGCTCCAATAGTGTTAAAAGAGCATATTTTTCAGGCTAGACCAGCCAGTGCGCATGCGCAGTCCTAAGAGCACGTCTCTGAACGCTGACTGTTTCTATAACAACCGGGAATTCTAACGGCAGCTGCAGTGATGCGATGACTTTACCGATTAGTGATTGGCTCTTTTACTCAAAAGGAGGGGCTTTGTTCGATAGAGCGGCCATATTGAGTGTTGTATTTTTCCCCATTCAAAACTATATGAGTGACACGTATTGTGTATTCTATAGTCTTTGATTCAGAATTATGATTAGTCAGATCGCCTGTCAATCAAACTCCCAGCGAAGGGTGAAATCCCTCCCTACATTCCAGAAACCGATTCACTTGAAAATACGTCACAATAGGGAAGAAAAGACTATCTCAACTTTCATTTCATGCCGACTTTAAGCAAATGTTTCTTGGTGTTTCAGTTGAAATTATAAATAAAAATTGCAGTCACACTTTATTTTAATGTCCAATTCTCGTTATTAACAAACCATTAACTATGACTTTTGCCTGAATAAACTCCTAATTTACTGCTTATTAATAGTTAATAAGGTAGTTGTTAAATGTAGGTATTGGGTAGGATTAGGGATGTAAAATAAGGTCATGCAGAATATGTGCTTTATAAGTAGTAAGTACTAATAAACAGCCAAAATGTTAATGATAGGCATGCTAATAAGTAACTAGTTAATAGTGAGAATTGGTTCCTATCCTGAAGTGTTAATTAAATTGCATAAAGTATAATACAGTCAAAAAATGTATACTTATTACATTGTTCTTTATCTGTGCAGAATTGCCTCAGCCGAAATTGTCAATAGATTCTCAATGGAATATGTTTTACCCAACTGAGAGAGTGACTCTGACGTGTTCAGTTGATGAAGAGTCAAATGATTGGGGCTATGAATGGTTTAAAAACAGAAGTTTGCTTAAAGAGGATGAGGACATTTCCTTTTCTGGAAACACACTCTCCATCAGCTCAGCAAAAGCAGATCATTCAGGACAGTACCTCTGCAGAGGAAAACATCTGACGAGAACATCGGTGACTACAAGAGAAACTGAAGCTGTGCAACTTCATATTCAGGGTAAAACTGCTTATGATATTCTATGATTAGTAGATATGAATGAAAAGTGACAGGAACCCAAGAGAGTCCTGTGAAAAACTGTTGAATATATTAAACTGCTTTTGAAAAGATCATTTTCTATGAATTATCTGAAAGAAAGAGTTACAGGTGCTTTAAAATGCATTCCGGTGAAGAAGCTGTATCAGTGTACAGTGGTTCATGTCTGCATTTACAGTTTCTCGTCTACTCTTCTTGACAGCAGTCAGACACTATTAGCAGCATGAGTCCATTCATTTTAGTTTTGCATAATACAAAATAAAAAGCACATGCAATTCAAGGCAGTTTTTGTTTGAAGGTGGTCCACTGTTTCTAATTTTTAACCTCTGTTGCTTCTAGACATCACACCAAAACCAACCATTACAAGACATGAGTGGTTTGAATTTTTCTACACTGAGGAGCGAGTTCAGCTTAAATGTAACATGCCAGGAGTAGGTTGGGAATACCACTGGTATAAAGACTCAAACCTTCAGATCACAAATCCAGAATTCACCATTGACGCAGTATCTCTGGATGACAGTGGTTATTATCTCTGCAAAGCACAGAGAGGAGACTTCTCAGTGGACAGTGAGATGCTACAAGTGCAAGTTCAGAGTGAGTCCATTATTTACCCCTTTATAAATTTCTATTATATAATATTATTCCCATTGTGCATTCATTGAGTTTACAGTGCCTCAGTAAAATTATCAGCAAATGCATCAACATGTTAGCGTTAGTCTTTGTGTTATCTATATGACCTCATTCACCCTCCATTTTCTTCTCTTCTTTTAGAACCGCCTGAACCACAAATCCGGTCTAATTGGACAGAAGCGTTTCCTGGTGAAAAAGTGTCTTTGCAGTGTGTGATTCAAGGTGTTTCAGAAAAAAGGAATTATATGTGGTTCAAGGACTCAAGCAAAATCGTCTCCAGTGGTGAAACAAACATACAAGGAAACACTCTCACACTCTGGGACCTGCTCAGTGTCTATCACGCTTGCTGTACCATTCCCCTCTACGGACCGGATATGTGCGCTTAATTACTTCACAGGCAAGTTCCCCTCATGCGAACCCTGTTTGGAGTTCCTCCAGCACCCTCGGTGGTCAGGTGTGGCGGAGCACCCGACGACAAGTCCAGCACTCGTGTGTTTGCCCAAGGTTAGCCCCTGTGCTGGGCTAGGTGCCCATGTGTTGTGATTCCCCCTAGAGGTGATCCCACATGTGTATTCTTCCATGATACGGCTATCCTTGCGGTAAGCCCGTGTCTTTCGCTGGCAGAGTTGCTCTGCCGTCTCTGCTCGGTATTGACCTCACCCAAATAGGCTGAGTTTACGGCAGAGACTTTCCATATGTAGCACTGCCTTGTTGGCCAGTCCATATGTGTAATCTCCACATAATACCTCCTAAGTGCAGGATGTGGCTTCCGTAGCGTTCCCTTCCTCAGGTACGCTTTCCCAGTGTTATCCAATATCCCACAGCAGGAACAACAGTGTCAGCCCCCTCTGCCTAAGCCCTGTCCTGTCTTCCGTCCCAACCAGTGTGGGAGGATTTGCCAGCTTACACAGGGCACTGGAGAGGGGGCAGCAATGGTGGCGTTTTGGTAGGGATCCCAATTCGTCAGTCATTCTGACGTAACGTCGATCGTGACTGTCTGAGAGGGAACGTCTCGGTTACAGATGTAACCCTCATTCCCTGAAGAAGGTTATGTTCCGTCGCCACAATTGCTGTACCACCACTGAATGGCTTATGCTTATGCCCTTATGCTTTCCATAAACTCAAAACATTATTTCAGCCTATTTTGAAGATTTATGTTTATGATTTTAATAAAATGTTCATACATTTGCATTATAGAGTTTTAACATAAACTAACAAACTTAATGTGATGCATATTTGTTAGTCGCACATAAATGAAATAAGAAATTAGATTTATGAAATAATACTAATACATCAAGTGTTTTAAATACAGAATAACCAGGTTTATATATTTATCATCAATGAATCCAATGTATTACATGTAAACCATTCAATAAAGCATATATATTTTAAATAATGAATCATGCTAGTTCCAAAGCTAACCATATTTAACCATGCTTTTGCAATTTTTTTTTTCAAAACTAACATATTTATGCCATTTTTAAAGAATTTTAAGAAAAAATATAATTATGTAAAAAAAAAATTAAATAGATACAAATAGTTAATGAACTATGTCATGATTTATGTTCTTGAGTGTGGACTGGTTTAGCTTCTTTACTGTTGCACTGATGTTTGTATAATAGAGTGGAAAGTGTCAGTGTGTTTGTATAATAGAGTGGAAAGTGTCAGATTTCTGGTTATGTTGAAAAGGATTTTCATTGGGCAACTCAGTTCATTTAGCGGCAGATTACCTTGAACAACAAGCACCTGCAAATCATGACAGTTTTTGTTTGAAGGTGGTCCATTGTTTCTAATGTTACCTCTCTTGCTCCTAGGCATCATACCAAAACCAACCATTACAAAACATGAATGGTTTGAGTTGTTCTACACTGACGAGAAACTCCAGCTTGATTGTAACATGCCAGGAGAAAGTTGGGAATACCAGTGGCATAAAGACTCAAATCCTCTGATCACAAGTCCAACTCACACTATTGACGCATTATCTCTGACTGACAGTGGTAACTATCACTGCAAAGCACAGAGAGGAGACTTCTCAGTGGACAGTGAGACTTTACAAGTGCAAGTTCAAGGTGAGTTAGACTCTTGTGTCCATAAAAAACTACCTCTGCGACCATTTCATTTATAGGATATAACCATGGCAGTGCACTCAGTGAGTTTAAAATGATAACTTGACATGTTTAAGGGACAGTTCACCCAAAATAACATGACAATTATTTTATAATTTCACACTCATGTCATGTTGTTTCCGACATGTATGACTTTCCTCTTCTGTGGAACACAAAAGATATTTTGATATTAATTAAAAATGCACTCATTATTGTCCATACTAAAGTCATTGGGGTCTAATTTTGTTTTGAACCTCACTGACTTTCAGAATGTCTTCATTAAAAGTAGGGTATGTGATAGGTGATTTCGGAAGGCTAGCAATAACAAGCTAGCTTTGAAAGCATAAGATCCCACCCTGCCTGCAAATCACTCTCCAAAGCCACGCCTCCTCCATAACGCATGAACGCTCACAGCAAAAAGCTTTTTCCCCCTAATTATGACTTTTAAATTTGAATATAACTAGAATATTATTAATAATATTTAAGAATACAATTTAGTTTTTCAGCCATTTTGATAGCCTTAATTTTTGCATTTTAATAGGAAATAATTGAAGGCCAAACATTTGGATAACAATTTAAAACTATGTCAGTGGGCAGCATATTATTTGTCAATACCGGCTCTCTGCTTTGATTGATAGTGTTTTCATCTTTTCATCAAAGATGATCATTTTCATCTTTGTCAATGAACAAAGTAAACAAATGGTTGATTGATATTTATATGTTTTATGCGGGGCCAGCTCCAGGCTTGGGCAGGGGTGGGCTGAGCCCACCCAAATGTGTCTTGCCCACCCAATCAAAACTATAGGTAAAGATTACGTTATTATTTTTATGCAGTGATTAAAAGCAATCTGAAGCGGACTGTATTTTGAGATGTTTAAGAGCTGAAGACTGCCCCAACAATCATAATATAACATTAGAAATGGCATATTTTTTATTTTATTAGCTGAAAGCAAAGGCGTGCTACATTCACGCGGAGGCTTCAGTCTGTTTGCGGAAAAGCAGAGGCTGACAACGAGCGAAAATGGACATAAATAGTTGTGCGCTATCAGTGTGTACGGGAGTTTAATGCATATCTAAATGAATATGTGCCTTGGGCCTTAGGCCACTGAAATTACCTGAGCAGTTGAATTATTTTTCTAGAAAACCTCGCTTATTCAATAACGTACATTTACTGCATGGATGGGTCAAGAAGTATAAGCGTTTAAAATGCATGTATACAGTTCAGTTGAAAGCTTACCCATTTTGAATGTGACGACAATAGCATTTAGCATTTAGGAATACAAATAAAATTGAATGGTGCATATTTTAAAATAAAAATATTATTTGCAGTTCAGATTGATTGCTTTGCAAAAAATCGTATTCTTGTTCTTTTACTGTTCTTTTTTCTTCTTTTAATTTATTCCCCTAAATCTATTTAAATCCTATATTTATTTAGTTCCTTTAAGTAAATACCAGTACCATAGAGGTCTGGTCTTTATTTTCCTCAATAAAGGACCAAACAATTGGTCCCCCCAGTGTTCTAGAGTAGACATTATTATGGCCTTGTTTGGTATAAATAAAAAAAAACTTGGTTAAAAGAATCAGCAGTGTAGAAACAATGATCCAGAGAAAGAGAACAAAGAGGGCAGTTTTTTACTATTCAGTAAAGAAAATAAGTTTATTTTGTTGCGAAAGTTAATGATATTCTGTGGTTCGCTATAGGCTACCCACGAAAGCATGATATTGCTCTTTTTTCAGTGTACATATATCAACAACACTGCAATAAGTTGCATAGTTAAAATAACAATATCTACAGTCTAAATTTCTAGACTATATCCCTCACCCTCCTTTGTATCCCGCCCACCCTTCTATAGCGCTTAAGAACCGGGCCTGGTTTTATGAATCATTTTATTAAACAAGTTACTTTACTGAAGGCTACCAGGAAAGCTACATAATTAAGTTGAATAAATTCACAATATGTGCCCATTCATTATTAATCACATGCCTAATATATGCTGAAAATGGCTTCGTTAATATTGTTTATTTTTCCTTCACATTCAATTTTCATGAATCACGTCAATTCAAAATGGCGAAATTAGACAAGTTTTTTTTTTGTTTGCATCCCTGATTATTTTTGTCAGTCATTTAAAATTTGTATCGTAAAACAGCGGTCAGATATGAAATATTTGGCTACGTACATCGTGCACTTTATAGCCACTAACTGAAGTGTCACTTTGAAATTTGCGCTATGCAGCTCCTGTGAATATAAAGCCCGCCTACTTTGATTTGATTGGTCATCTCAAATATTTTTTGACATTGACGAGGTTTAAGTTTAATCTTGGTGCTGTGCAATATCTTTGCAGCACGAAGGAAGAGTTAATACTATATTAGGCAATTATTTCACAAAGTAGCTACACCTTGACCTCATAGCTGTCTACGGGCATGCTCACACGCAGTTGAATGTAACGTTGTCAGTTTACCTCATGTCTCATTCACCGGTGAGAAAACATTACAGTACAAAGCGCAGAATATTAAAATAATAACGCCTTCCGTTCTTGCTCGGTCTGCAATACCATAATGGAACCCACTGATGACGTATCATGTCTGCCTGAACAGGGAGGTATGCAAATACATACATTGACAGGCAGGTAGGACAGCCAATCGTAGCCCTCGGACCGAGGGATATGATTGGACAAACATTTTTTGCTCCTACGCCTTCCACAGACAATATAAATACATATAAAAAATGTATACCACTTAGTAACTTAGTGATTGCTATTGGGATGTGAAGAGACTTTCAACCATGATAAAAAATAAAAAAAAGTTTTTCAACCAAATCACCTACCATGCCTTTAATGCTCCACAAAAGAAAGAAAGTCATACAGGTTTGGAACGGCATGAGGATGGGTAAATGAAGACAGAATCACTTTAAAAGGAAAAGCACTAAGGGCTGTGCTGATTAGATGGCTCACTATAAAATATATTTTATTTAAAAAAATGATAAAGTAACATATCACTTTGCTCTAAGCTCGTCCACATGCATTACTGAGTCTGGAGACTGAACTGAGCGACATCATGACAGGGGATATGACTCTCCGGTGTAACGTCTCAGACGGCAGGCAGTGGAACTACACCTGGTACATGAACGGACAGCAGCTCAATGGATCCTTGGATGTACTCAAAGTGGCAGGAAATGAAGAAACAATTAAAAGTGAATTCAAGTGCAAGGGCATAAACACAGTGAGACCGCTGTACTCCGCTCTGAGTGACGGCTTCATAGCCAATAATATTTGTGAGTAATGGGAATATTTATTATTAAACCTGTTTCATACAGTGTATAGATGTGAATAACTTGTGCATTAGAACAATGTCGGAATGTTTTCGAGATTATTGGAAAAAAAAATAAAAAATTTTTTAGTATATAGATTTTATTTTCAGTGAGATTATACATATTCTGTCAAGATGACAGACAAAAAAAACGTTTTACCATAAAACTCGTATTTCTATATAATATATTATACAATGTTTGGAGGAAATGTTGATTTAACTCACTTTAACTAAATGTGTGCATTTCCATCATTATTACAGTATTTAAAAGAAAAATACTGCTGGCCATCTCAGGATGTCTCGTCTGCTGTATTGTAATCCTGATCATTGGATGCATCGTTCTAAAAATCACCCGTAAACCAGGTACAATCAGCAATTAATGCATATACTTCTGAAATGAAGCTTCTTTATTCTGTTGGTCTTGCATGCAGTGTTATTCATACCAAGCACTAGCCTTGTGTCACCCATTGCTCAGACTACAAATACTGTAGTACCACTTCTGTTTACACTTAGTTTGGATCTCTCAATATACACAGGTTAGTGTAAACAGGGTTTTATTTATTGATATTTACTATAAACAATGTCTACTATAATGTACACTCAGTGTAAACACCATTTACACTCTAGTAAACTTAAATAGCTGCTTGCCTTAAAATTTAAAACTGCTTTTAAACACTTCACCCTTTGACGTAGATTCAGACAGCTTGAATTTGTTGTCATAGACTACCATTCAAAAGTCTCTAATACTCACCCAGGCTGCATTTATTTGATCATAAATACAGTGAATTAGTAATATTTTAAAATATCATTACAATTTACAACGACTTTTTCCATTGTAATATATTTTAAAATGTAATTTATTTCTGTGATTCAAAGCTGAATTTCAGCATCATTACTCCGGTCTTCAGTGTCACATGATCCTTCAGAAATCATTCTAATGCTGATTTGCTGCTCAAGAAACATTTATCATTATTATCAATGTAGAAAACAGCTGTGCTGCTTATATTTTTGTGGAAATTCTTATACATTTTTAAGGATTATTTGATTATTTGTAAAGTTCAAAAGAACAGCATTTATTTGAAATAGAAATCTTTGTCACATTTTATAAAAGTCTTGATAAATTTTTTTATACTTTTGATAAATTTAGTGCAAATCTCAGTGACCCCAAACTTTGAAACAGTCATGCAACTAGAAACGCAATGACACATACAGAGGACAATCATATAGAGTTATTATTGTTGTGATTGTCTAACATGACCACATTTTACACTCAGCATTATCTTGTGTGTTTTGAGATTACATTTTATATGTAATTATTTCTTACAAAAATTGTAATTTCTTGTCATCAGAGGTAAAAGAAACAGCACCAGAGGATTTGTTTTTCTCAATGACAGACTCCAAGAACCGTAAGTTTTGCTCTTTGTGTGTGTGTGTGTGTGTGTGTGTGTTCTGATATATATGGTTTATGAGGACACAAATGTGTATAATGGCACTTCCTGTGTCCCCATACACCAAAAGGGTGTTTTAAATTGGCAGTAGTTTTCTGTAAGGGGTAGGTTTATGGGTAGGGTTGGTGTAGGGCAATAGAAAATACAGTTTGTACAGTATAAAAACCATTACGCCTATGGAGAGTCCCCATAAACCACATGCAAAAAATGTGTGTGTGTGTGTGTGTGTGTGTGTGTGTGTGTGTGTGCATGTTTATGTGGTTTATGAGGACACAAATTTGTATAATAACATGGGTATGACATAGGTATTACAACGAGGAGGTGATTTATGAGGACATTTTCAGTGTCCCCGTAATTCAAAAGGCTTATAAATAGTTCAGAATGAGTTTTTTTTTGAAAATCTAAAAATGCAGAAAGTTTCCTGTGAGGGGTAGGTTTAGGGGTAGGGTTGGTGTAGGGCAATAGAAAATACGGTTTGCATAGTATAAAAACCATTACGCCTATGGAGAGTCCCCATAAACCATAAAAACAAACCTGTGTGTGTGTGTGAGAGAGTTTCTCTATAAATGTATATGGGTCTTTGATTACTCTGCAGAAACTATTTCACCCATGAAGGAGTACATGGACAACATACCAACAGAGCTGGAGGGTATGTGCTTTTACTGACATTACAATCAAATGATTTACCAATGTACTATTTCCCAAACGTTATACTTTGTAAAATATATTAAGTGACTCAAAGAGAACATGTTTTTGCTCGTGTTACAAGCCAAAGGTATGATTTTGTATTATTAAACTACTGTAAATGTAATTGCCACACTCTCTCTGTTATCATTCAGAGTGTCAGGAAAAAGCAGAACTGATCTCTGACTGTGCTTCAGCCGTTCATGAGGATGGTGGGATTAAAGGTAAGAGACCTAGCAAATGTGTATCTACCAATCGTAATATTGTAATAGAAATCAATCATTTTGCTAATGTACAGTATATCATTTACAGGACTATGATCATGTTTCTGAGCTATAAGACTATTACACAATATAAAAAATAATTTATCGCAAATGACTCACAATGTTTCTCTTATTTAAAGATGAAGACACACCAGCATCAGAAGCCAATGGCCTGACATCATTTAAAGGTAAAGTTAAATTCAGTCTTATTTTCGTATCATTGAGAGACTATAGTTTTTTTTAGACATTATAGTGTTTATTCCTATTTTAATTTGTTAAAAGTTTTAGTAATTTTTATTAAATTGTATCTCTTTTTTTATATGTCCATATATGTTTTATTCATTTTTAGTTATTGTGGTGCATCAAGTTAAACTAAATGAAAATGAGATATGTTGCTTTGACAACTAGCTGACATAAAATATTTTATTTAATTTCAGTTAAATTTAATTTTATTTCAAGTAACCACATTTTTTTTATGGTTTTAATTGACTTTAATGACCATGGTTACATTTTGTCTTAAAAGTCTTCAAAATCATCTTTTGGTGTTAAAAGGTACTTAACCCTGGGGTATTTTGAAGCCCTGTGCAATGGCAATTTATTTAGAAACTGACAGTCAATCATAAACTGCCTCAATGCTTTTATTAAATATTATGCATAATATTCATTCACTTTGTACAGCCATAAAAACAGTAATCTCATAAACAATTATCCCTGTAAATGCAAATAAAAAAGTCCAATCCTGTGAAATCTCAAAACTGGACTATTCTAATGACTAATTACTAATTTACTAATTACTAAAGTATGCGCTTGAAGTGTGTGTTTCATGTGTTATGAATCTATGAAACCAGATTTTGAGCTCACTGTCATATTTCTGCCTCTCCAGGACTCTGAATCATTCCACCAGCAATCAACTTGCACTGAGGCACAGCTAAAAGACATATGCTTGTTTTAAAACGACTGCATTAGTACAGCATTTTGTCTAGCAGCAGCTGCATTTTTGTACACTTTTATAAGCTGAAAATCAGCTTGTTTACAAATTTAAAACAAAAACAAACAACAGCGACCTACTGCTATAAATGAAGACAGTGATTGTATGGGGAGAGAACGGACGGGAAGAAATTATAATGATCAGAAGTAAAAATAATAATAATAATAATACAATTTTATTTCTGTACATATCTGTACATACCCAAAACATCTGTTTCATAATGCAAATATTACAACTCAACAACACAGAAAGCAAAAAAAATATTGATTGTAATTCATTCACTAGATTATTTTGCTACAGTAATTTATTTGCATATTGAAAAAAAAACCTTCATTTTTTTTCTCCTCTGTATGATTGCCATATGCTTAAAATTTTTTATTGGAGATATTTTCTTAAAACTTTTTTAAAACGAATGTTTTTCTTTCTATTAATATTATTTTAAGTGTTATGGTTGTAGATTATTGACATTTAAATAAACAAGTATGTTTATCCCAATGATACAACGAATTACTGATCCTTGACTTATTATTAAACAGTGTGTTCTTTTTTTTATTAGATTCATCTGTTGATTTATGCCTCTAGGCTCAGAATTTTTTATTTTTTTTTAAAGGAATATAGTTCAAATATATATGCTACATATATAGATAGAAATATGATGCATTCCAGGACTAGTAGCTAGTAAGAAACTACACTCTAAAAAATGCTGGGTTAAATACAACCCAGTGCTGGGTAAAATAGGGACAAACCCAGCAAATGGGCTGTTTAGACCCAGCGGTTGGGTTAAATGTTTAACCCAACCTTCAGGGTAGTAACCCAACCGCTGGGTCAAAACAACCCAATTGCTGGGTTTGTGCCTATTTTACCCAGCACTGGGTTGTATTTACCCAGCATTTTTTAGAGTGTAGTAGCTAGTAAGAAAACTGCAATTTTCACGTCTTGCATAAAACTACTAATATATAGCTAATATATAATTAAATACAATTATAAAATAGTACCTGGAAGAAATAATACTAATACTAAAACTAATACTAACATCTCTTATTTCACGTCTGCCAGGAGTAGCCTTCTTTCTCATATGAGCAGTCAGTCTAAATACATCCCACAACAACAAAAGAGTAGACATCGACATCTAGCGGTGAAATTCAGTAGCTTACTTACTGTCCTTTTATTCATTTCAGTATTAACATGGACTAGTGATTAAAAAAAGATCTTGCACAAAACAGTTGATAGAAAGGAACTGTGTGTTTTGGCTGATCAGTCAATCGTACACAAATTCATGTCATCAACAGAGTGAAAAAATCATCCTGACAAATCAAAAGCAGTTTTTTTTCATAACCCTGGAAATGAAATCATCTTAATTTATCATTTTGCAAGAGGACAAGTGCTGCTCATCTGCTAAATGTTTGCACATCACTGCAGCACATGAATATAACATATAGTAATCAATGTGTGATATAGGTTAGAGCTAAAGGTACATTTTAACCCCTGAGGTCGACGGTCCCACAGTTGTTGTGTTTCTGTAGACCTTGTCTTTTGTCAGTATATTAGGTTATAGATAAGGCCATAGAAGTGAAATCAAAACCAGACAAAGCTGCCATGTGGTTTCTGAAAGTCTCAAGACCACAAGAACAAGATGCTTCCTACATACACTTCTTAAAGGAATAGTTCACTGAAAATGTACTCACCCTCATGCCATCCAAGATGAAAATTTAGTTTTTCATCACAACAGATTCAGAGAAATGTAGCATTACATCACTTGCTCACCAATGAATCCTCTGCAGTGAATGGGTGCCGTCAGAATGAGAGTCCAAACTGCTGATAAAAACATCACAACAACACAAAAGTAACTCTAGTCCATCAATTAATGTCTTGTGAAACGATAAACTGCGTGTTTGTAAGAAAAAAATCCATCATTATGGAGTTTTAACCGTCGCTTCTGGCCAATTTTCATTTCTGGATGAACTGTTCCTTAAAGCAACATCGCAAGTAACTCCCATGTTTGTCCCATCACAGCCTTTCAATCTCTTTCCTGTATAATTGCTTGTGCTTTTCCTAATTTGTATGCTGCTCTCAATGAAAGCATCTTCATCTACATCTGATATTGCAATGCTCATCTATCCTCTGTGTGTGTGTGTGTGTGTGTGTCCATGTTTATGTGGTTTGAGGACACAAATTTGTATAATAACATGGGTATGACATAGGTATTACAACGAGAAGGTGATTTAAGAGAGAGAGAGAGAGAGAGAGAGAGAGAATGAGCAAGAGCAAGAGCAAACAGGAATAATGCTGGACAGGCCTTATAAATTGCCTCCATCCAGTTAAAAGCGAGATCATACATTACTGTGCAGCGGCTCAGCCAATCAGGAGACACTGCTGGTGGGTACAGCAGTAAAATATTGAAGGGCTGAGTGAGAAGAGGAAAGATCCTGCATGTTCTCCTCTCCTTCTGCATCAGCTATCTTCGAGCTCTGTGTCAGTTTAGTGTGTACGGCACTGGACATCTGAAGCCTATGTGTTTCCTCTAAAGGCCCCTCAGAAGAGAACATTTTAGCCAACATACTGTTTTTCTGAGGCTTTTGGCTTGACACCCCTATAAGTTTCTCTTCGGGACACTCAGCACGTATGGTAAGTGGCCATTTTAAATTATTCTGCTTGCATCAAATATCCAGATTTTCATTTACTTGTCAATATGTCTGTTTTGCCATTTTACTTAGTATTTAGAAATCTATTCTTAAGGTATATTACAAAATCTGCATGGGTGATTTGGCACTGGGACACTGCAGATTGGACTACTGTGTAAACCCAAAATCCAGCATTAGAACATACAGTATATTCCTTTATTACTATACTGAAGGCAAACACAACAATATTTTTTGTGATTAATTTGATGGACAACTAGGCATAGTACAACTCTGACTATACTGGCAGTCGTTTTGGCATTCTAGGTGATGTTAAAGTAATATTATAGTGCAATATGTAATAAATAAAAAAAGTGTATTATTAAAACAATGACAAATACAAAGTAATAAAAAAGTGTCAGTGATGTTGATAGTTAAAGTGATAGTTCACCTTCAGTTGCTGGACACTTTTGTACCAGCGTGTCTGATTTCTGAGCAGTAGAGGGCGCCATGTCTTACTATAAATGAACTAAAAATAAAGAATGACCAATCAGCAAGTACCACTAGCTCACTATGTTCCTCTCAGAATGATCTGAAACAGCCTTTTAGTCCTTAGCTCTTAAATATCCTGTTTTTGTTTGTTTGTTTGTTTGTTTGTTTTACTTATTCCATGTATATTAGCTTTAAGGTCATCTACGTGCCACATAGACTCAATGAAAAAGCATACTTCTACCTACATTTTTGCAAAACTCCAAAAAACATACATACACATACAGTACAATTTACTGCAGTTTTCAGCTAAAATGAACACCAGTGGCAGTAAAACAGTTATTCATTTACATACAAATTGTGATTACAGTGGCAGATTATTGATTAATTACACATGGTTCCTTGCACAATACTATGTTATGACCTCAAACCACTTTTTATCATAGTGGATGGATTGTTAATTAATACATTTTGACATTTGCATCACATTACCAGCTCCATATCTGTGGATTTCTGACATAGTAAACTTGCTCGGTAGCACACCTGGTACAGCATTGCACTTGTGATGTGAAGTGCATATATGAGTCCCACTGAGCATGCTAAAAGAGCTCAAAGACTTGAAGAAGCAAGCTAAAATGGCATGATGGCTTCAGCAAATTCATTTTTACCCTGCCTTTGCTTTTATTAACATTATCGATTAGGTTTAGGCTGGGGTTTAGTGTAGGTCAAGCAATATTTTTAAATGCAATAGAGCATTAAACTTTAATGCCATTCACTGGACATTTCATTTCCAATACATACAATGGTCATCATAATAAAACATTGCCAGATTCATGTTCATCTGTTTCAAATTCAATGCGCTTTTAGTTCACTGGACATTACACTTCTCAAACATTCGAGAATCAACATAAACATAAGTACGTAAGTATTTACATAAGTAATATCAGCCTAATATCAGCAGAAATGACACTCCAGGTAAATTTTTTTTCAATTAGCCTGGGTTGTCTATATGCTAGTGTACTCATAAAATGTATATGCAAATAAACCATACACTTATGGGCGTGTCCATTGCATTTTGGAATGTGAATGCCCCTCCCTTTTAATTTTAATTACCGTGTAAATCATGGGGGGCTTCACAATACTCTAGCTTATGCTTCCTCATTTCCTCCAGCCTTGAGAAATGTATCTAACTATAAAGGCCACTGGATATTTCTTTTTTTTTCCTTTTTTTTTTTAAAAAAAAGGACATGTCCTTAGAAATGTCCTGGCCCAACTTCCTATTCCACTAGGAAACACATCAATACCAGAAAGAAAAGTGCACTGTTCGATTTCATGAGGTCCTTAATGGACTTAAACAATATGAATGAGGTAATGGGAGTCAACAAGGCTAGAAGTTAGAGCTCATTACAGATTTTAATTAAAACATTCAGGTAAATCTCCCACACCCAATCCCTGTGCGATGGGCAATCGATTCATTACAGAACAAGTGCCACCAGTCTTCCTGCTGGGCTTTGTTGACAAGCTGATTAAACTGAGGTGTACTGTGCGAGTTACTACATTAGGGGGAGTGTGTCGTAGTGTGTATGTATATTTTGTTCACAGTGTGTGCGTGTGTGTGTGTGTGTGTGTGTGTGTGTGTGT